TTTTAACCCCCCCCCCCCCCCCCCCCCCGCCTGTTAACTGAGTTGATCTGGCAATGAAATGGCTGAGTTGGGCAAAATGCATGGCATACACGCATATTAGGAGCGTGAGTTAATGATTTTGTTTAAGAAGATAAACGGAAATAAGAAAAACATATAAAAATAAATGAAAAGGGTAAAATGGCTATTTCGCCCCTCCGGCCTCCCCCATCTAGTTTTGTGCACACGTCATTGTTGGTCTCCATCATTCTTTACCCATTACCATCTTTAGCCTAATATTTTACTCTCCAACCAAAAATCGAGAGAAACCACCGGGAAGGAGCACAAGCAATAATCACCATTTGAAATTCTCGAATTCAAAACCTCTAACCTTTAAAATTTCAAGTGAATTATGAACTTTGAGAAAATGAATTCTCTGAATTTCGACTCACCTAAAAAATTCTAAGAAATTAAAATGGGTTTGTTTTTGTTTTGATGAAGAAGGTGGACAATGCTTCCATGGAAGAAGCTATTGATGGTTGTTTGCGGCAGAGTAGTGGTGGTTGTGAGATGAGGTGGCGGTTTAGTCGTGAAGAGGAAATGGAAGTTGTGGTCATTCGTTGGGTGGAGTTACGGTGGAGGAGATGTTCTATGTTGGTGGAGAAGTGTGCCTCCTAAATAGAGAGCCTTACAGCATCATCATTATTTCACATGATATTCTTCAAAATATTTCATTGAAGCACTTTATCAAACACCTTTCACTTACTTATACACCAAAATCAAACAGTTAATCTCCTTAAACTCCACATATAACATGCAAAGAACCTCGCTTAAACTTTCACCAAATTACTTTCAATTGTCGATGCCGATGATTAGTTAATTTCTACAACTTCCAAATTGTACCTAAAAATTTTGTTTCTAGAAAATTTATAACCTTCAGATAAATCTTTATTGTTTTTTGTGGCTTGAATTATTTCCTTATATTTTAAGGAAACCTATAATCCCTATAGGTTTGGGAAAATTCATTATCCTAATAGATTTGGGAGAGGAAAACATATTGTCCTTATCAAATTGGGGAACCTTTCTCTTATAGGTTTGGTACTATTTAGGATCTATATGCAGGGGTTGTAGTTGGGGATCCTATAGATTATATTATATTTTTCTTCTCATTCATAGTGGAATACTCTCTCTACTTATGCCCCGAGGATTAGGCTTAGCCGAACTTCGTTAAATCTTTGTGTTGATTTTTCACGATCTTTCATAATAATTGGTATCAGAGCAAGATTCGGGTTTCTACATATTATCTAGGGTTAAGATGTCTTCATCATCTTCAACGAAGTACGAAGTAAAAAAATTTGACAGGGGTTCTAGTTTCAGTCTATGGAAGATTAGGATGAAATCGTCCCCGTTATTACAAGGGTTATGGAAGGCAATTGATGAGAATTTTTTTGAAAAGATGACAGAGATAAAGAAGGCATACTTGAAGGAGAGGGCTTTGAGTGCGATCTTCATGAGCATTACAGATAGTATTTTTCAGGAAATTGCTGAACAAACTTCTGCAGGAACGACATGGAAGAAGCTGGAAGATCTGTATTCTAAGTAATCGATGACAAACTACCTCTACCTGAAAAAAAGGTTATACAATCTCAGTATGAATGAAGCTACACCTATTGAAACTCACCTCAATGAGTTTAATTCAATTATAATGGACCTGAAGAATGTGGATATCAAAATTGAGAGTGAGGATCACGCATTGATTGTGTTATGTTCTTTACCGCCGTCTTATGATACTTTTGTCGATATGCTGCTATATGGGAAGGACAATATTTTACTGAAAGATGTTAACAATACACTAAAATCTAAAGAGTTGAAAAAGATCTTTCCAGTCAGCAAAACTGAGGAGTGAGGGTCTTGTGAGTAGAGAAAGAACATAACAAAAGAACTTTAACAGAAAAAAGTCAACTTCCAAATTGAAGTCTAGAGCAAGGAAGAAGAACTGTTATGAGTGCGGGGAGCAAGGTCACTACAAGAGAGATTTTTCCAAGCTGAAAGAGAAGAGGGATTCCTGGGTTCTTGATTCTGGTGTTACTTTCCACATGTGTCCACACAAGAATTGGTTTACAACTTACAAGCAGATGAGTGGGACTATCTACATGGGAGATGATAATCCATTACCAGTAGAGGGAATTAGTAACATCAGATTGAGAGTGTTCGATGGATTATCAGAAATATTGAGTGTTGGCATGTTCCTCGGATAAAGAAAAATTTAATTTCTCTTTCGATATTAGATGAGCAAGGGTATAGATTTCACTCCGAAAATGGCATACTCAAAGTGTGTAAAGACTACATGGTACTCATGAAGGGTAAACTGAATTCTAAATTGTATCATCTTCAAGCCAGTATAGTTGAAGGCGAAGTTGTTGTAGCTTCTAGGAAAAGTGATAAGAATCAGTCTCAGTTGTGGCACTTGCGACTTAGTCATATGAGTGACAAGGGATTAATAGTCTTTGTTGAGCAATCAGAATTTACTGGATGGGTACAAAAATCAAGTTTTGAATGTTTGTGAGCATTGTGTGTTTGGTAAACAGACAAGGGTAAAGTTCAGCAAGAAGGCTGAGCACAAAACCAGATACGAGTTAAATTATATACATTCAGACTTGTGAGGTCCAAATAGATTTCCCTCCAAGAGTAGTGCCAGGTATTTTATGACTTTAATTGATGATTAATCAAAGATGGTGTGAGTGTATTTTCTAAAAATAAAAGAGGAGGCATTTCCGACATTTGTTAAATGGAAGACAATGGTTGAGAGGCAGACGAAAAAAAAAGTTAAGCGTCTTCGAACCGACAATGGGTTGGAACATTTCAATTCTGAGTTCAATAATTTCTGCAGCAAAGAGGTCATAATGAGATACCGCACTTGTGTAGGAACCCCACAATAAAATATTATTGCAGCACGTATGAACTAAACGCTTTGTGATAGGGCACGAAGCATGCTTTCACACTCATGTGTTAGAAAGGATTTTTGGGTTGAAGCAATCGATACAACTTGTTATTTGGTCAACGGATCTCCATCTACAGCTATTGAGTTCAAAACTCTTTTGAGGTATGGTCCGGCTCGCTGTGATGACCCAAAAGGTCATCTTATGTTTTAGAACTCGAATCTGCGCTCTTAAGCCTTAAAAATCTTATTTTTACCCTCTTCGATTTGCGTGCGCAGTCCGGGCAGGTTTCCGAAAAGCTTTTATATTGAAAACTAATAAAAATAAGAATATTTGCCTTAAAAGTTGATTTTAGTTGATTTCGGTCAAAATTTTTGGTAAACAGGCCCGGATCCATGCTTTGACGATCCTGGTAGGTCCGTATCAAATTATTGGACCTGGACGTATGCCCGGAATCGAATTCGGAGGTCCCTAACTTGAGTTATGAATATTTGATGAAAATTAAAAGTCTGGAAATTATTTATTTTTAAGAATTGATTGATATTTGGCATTGTTAGCATCGGGTCCGTATTTTGGTTCCGGAGCCCGGTACAGGTTCATTATGATATTTAAGACTTGTCTGTGAAATTTGGTGAGAAACGGAGTTGATTTGATGTGATTCGGACGTCCAATTGAGAAGATGTGAATTTTAAAGTGTTCTTGAGAATTTTATTTGATTTGGTGCTAAATTCGTAGTTCTAGGTGTGATTTTGGCGATTAGATCACGCGAGCAAGTTCGTATGATATTTTTAAACTTGTGTGCATGTTTGGTTTGGAGCCCCGAGGGTTCGGGTGAGTTTCGGATAGGCCACGGGATGTTTTGAACTTAGAAAATTTTGCTGGTATAACTAAACCTGTTGCAGGCCTCTGATCTCGCAATTGCGAGATCAGGCTTCGCAAATGCAAAATAAGCAAGTCTGGCAATAGCGAGGTATCTATCGCAATTGCGAAGAAGGCCTGGGCCAGCATGTTCTCGCAATTGCGAGATTTTCTTCGCAATTGCGATGGGAGTCTAGGAAGGGCAGGTTCGCAAATGCGAACATCTACTCGCATTTGCGAACGTCTAAAAGGGACTTAGACGGGGTTTTTCATCCATTTTTCATATTTTCAAAACCCTAAGCCTTAAGAGGCGATTTTCCAAAGACCAAATCTTCCCCAAATCATAGGTAAGTGATTCCTAACTCTTTTCTTTCAATCTTTTACATCTTATAACAAGAGTTCAACCTAGAATCTAGAATTTTATGGTGAAATTAAGATTTTTGAGTAGAACTTAGGAATTTTGAAATTTGAGTATTTAGACCTCAATTTAAGGTCGGATTCCAAAACTGATTACCTATTCGGGCTCAGGGGTGAATGGGTAAAATGATTTTGGTCCGAACCTCGGGTTTTGACCAAGCAGGCCCTGGGTCAATTTTTTCACTTTTTGGAGGAAAATTAGAAAATTTAACTTATGCAATATAATTGATTCCTTTAGAAATATTTGATATTATTGAGTCAGTTTTGAATAGATACGAGTGGGTTAGAGGTGAATTCCAAAGGAAAAGCTATGATTGAGAATTAAGTGGCCTTCGGAGCAAGGTAAGTGTTGTGTCTAACCCTGACTTGAGGGAATTAGGAACCTTAGATTACTTGCGAAGTGAAATTCATGTGAGTGGCATATATGTGAGGTGATGAGTACTTATGCACCGCCAATTTACATGTTTTCCATGTTCTCAGTTTTTCTTATATTGTCTCAACCCTATGCCTAAGTGCGATGTATTATACTAGAGTTGTTCAATTTATCGTTCTCATCATGTTTACGGATTTTCTAGTGATAATTGAGTTTTTATTTCAAAGTTGAGATTGATGTTATGGAACCAAATGTTGAGGTAAGGTTTGTACTTGTTATTCTATCTC